TTAAGGATACTATATATACTCTGTTAAGTAGCATTCATCGGACCATAAGATGATGTAGTAAGTTTTGTAATCGATGATCAAAAACAAATATTTTTATATTATTTGTTAAATATATACATCAACGGTTTACAGATAGACAAACATATGTGTGTAATGTGACAAACGCTTAGCGTAACAGTCAGAAAAAAATGGTATTTAGATAAATACATAGATCCCTCTGCCATGCAGAGAGAAACAGCTATTGATTCATATCTCTATTATGTACGAAGGTTACAATTACAACTGAAATATACTCAGTATATGTAGGAACTTTACCACTTCTGTGGTTTCAAGAAGAATAAATCGACAAATCAGCAAGATTTCTTAATGGAAAGATTCTAAATCAATAACTATTGATTTGACTGCTGTTTGATTGAAATGTCATACTCAAACATGTTGTACTATATTGACTGAATCATATCTTAAGTATTGCAACAGTAAATTGTGGATCTTATTACTTACAGCTGAAATGTTTCTCTAGATATGTATATATATATTGAAATTGTTAGAAATGGTGAATTGTATTCGTTTATATATGTCCTTGTATGTGCATGTAATTTTATTTTACAAAAGAGACATTATGCAATTCGACAATCACATATAAATAGAATAGGCTGAGAAAGGATTTTTTTCAACATGTGAAGATATTTTATAGTTGTATTGAACAACAACTTTTTTTTTATAAAACTTGAACAACCTTTTTGTATTAGCTATTTTTATATATAGTAATGTTTGATGGACAACACCCAGTGTTCTCACCAGGATGTGAATAAGACTCATTTTTTTCGTTTTGTTCTTTAAAAGATAGTGAAATAAAAAAGATAGCTTCATTTTCGTCAGTATCTGTTGAAATATCTATTTTCATTTCTTACAACTGTAGGGTGAAGTAAAACGATAAAATACATAATTTCAAAATACCAGAAACATGATGTTCAATATATGAAAAAATTCATTATTTTATAACTATTAAATGCAGTAAATATAATCTACACTCTAAAAAATAATGTGCCTTCTACTTACCTGGAAATGTGTCATAAAAGTGACTTAAACGTGTTTTGTAAGTGTCAGCGACGTACCCTAGATTTCAGTAAGGGGTGGGCAAAATCCTTTTTTGGTCAAAGAAAAAAGTTCTTGTGGAGTATTTTTATTTCTGATTTCAATCAAAATATTTTTTTCTACTTTCAATTAAAGAAGATGAAATTTCTAAGGAGTATGATCTACCCTTGGCCTAGTGCTGAGTACGTCGCAGGTAAGTGTCTACAACAACAAAAATTAAGATATTTATGAGACACTTCTGGAAGTAAGACAGTTTAAAGCTAACTCAAATCCCAGAATATGTGTCTGCTTTAGATAAGCTCGATGAACCCATTTGGATTCATCCATACGAGCTGATTTTTATTATACATAACCCTGAACTCCTGAACGCCATAAGAGTTCATTTTGTGAAAAAGTTCTTGAGTTAATAATTGAATTTGGTATCTATTCGCTGCTTACAATTGACTTTTCATGGAAGTCTTACTGTAGGAAAAAAAGTGTCTTGTAGTAAGACACATCAAATAAATCGAATTGAAAAAGTCGCATTAAAGTGTCTTACTGGAAGGCACAACAGAAAAAAGAAATACCGGCCAAAGAGTGGTTTGAAGTCACTATGTGACGTTTGAGAGATGTATGCATTAAACCATTGCACCACCGAACCTACATATGACAGTCGTTCTTACAGTAAGGGGACACCTCCTATATCCTGCTCGGAATATAGCTATATCCCGATCAGGATATGGAAAAAAATTAATATTCCGATCGGGATATAAAACACAAAATTTCGTCGTAAAAACGGTTAAGGGAAAAATGACGACGTTTTGGGGAAAAACTGACATCACCATTAGAAAGAGCTGGAAAAATTACATCAGATTCTGTTGTGTTTGATCAAAAGAGCATCACACACCCAGCAACTATTTTTTCGAACAAAAACCTTTAACAAATTTTAGTCGAATTTATATCCCAATCGGGAAATAGGCGGTTAATCTTTTATTGACCATAATGGGATATACTCTTGATCTAATCGCTTTATCGACCCTATATCAGTCGTGAAGCCAGTATTTCTGAAGATTCCAAGAGAACATAATCATTGCGGCTTTTATACTTATATTATCTGGCACGACAACACCCCTTTCAAACTAATTAGATTTGATGAGAAACATGTTAATGTGGAAGTAAGAAATTACATTAACCGACAAAAAATTTTTAACCGTAATTGTTCGTTTTTATGTCACCTGTGTATAAATCAAATAGACATAATCAGTAAATAGATATAATCAATGAATTATCATCATCATCACCTTCAAAACATACAAATTTTTGATATCCTGATCGGGATATAGATTCTTTTTATATCTCAATCGGGATATCGAATTATATCCTGATCAGGATAGGACACAGTTCAGGACACAGTCTGATGAAGGAGCTTATGTATGATAAAAATCAGCTCTTATGGACGAATCCAACTGGCTTCCTCAAGCTTATCTAAAGCAGACTCATATTTTTCTAGGTTTATTTATAAACAAACTCAGTTTTCAATTTTGAGCCCAGTTATTAGATGATGAAGAAAATTTCGTTCTACTAGTATATTAGGTGCAATCAATGAGTCTTTATAGTAAAGATCACATCATTATGAGCTGATTAATCCTTTGAATTTTGAAGCCTATGACCATGCGTGGCGCAGTAATAGCATCAGATTTCCAAGTTTGTAATGTGGTTTTTTATGAGTCAGAAACACAACATCTTAGCACCATATAAGTTTTTTTATAAAACTTGAACAGTCTTTCTATATTAGCTATTTTCATATATACTAACGTTTGACGGACAGATGGGCTGTGATCTCAAACTTGAAGATGAGTATCAACTTAATTGTTTTTCCGTTAGATTAATCAGTTTTTCAGCGTCATTTTCATCTATGATAATAGAAATTTTTATTTTGTCTTGTTTGAACGGCTGATTCGTTTCCGTAAGAGTAGTAGGAGAAGTTTATAGTATCAATATTTGCAGTACTAAAGCTGGTCTTTTATGTGACATGTTCAACGTCGCTCTAAATTCCACGGATGCAGAGAAAAGTAACATCAGAGTTGCCGCATTAGAAGAGAGGTCGAAGCCTGACACCCCTGAGAAGGCATGTAGAATATGATTTTTGTGCGGGAGACCTGCGAGCTACTGTGTAATTGTCTTTACTCTACACGATAGAAGTGCTGATAAATTTCAGAGAACAAAAATTTTTCGCTTCGATGATGTACTCGAGCAGCATCTTGTATTTGTGTGCCGTCGGTCACAAGTGGATGTCTCACCTTAATTACCATCTTGATGTGTACTGATCTCAAAAAGAAATAATATCCCGCCTTGCGGTCACCGTTATCGATATAAGGTATTGACAGTGTCAATTTCAATATTTAATATAATTATCCTGCACCTGACAAGTTTCTAATACGGTCAACCGTCTCGTTACTAGTCATTAATCGCAGCTCTAGCCAGAGAGTTATTCTGATGCATTTTATCCATCAGCAAAAGTAATATATTTGTGTATTATTAATATATTAGTTATATAACTATTATTGCTTCGAATCAGTGCATCAATATCCGTTGTCATTGTATCCAAATCTTGTTTTAAACCAGTATCTTTTTAGCATAAAATTGCTGATATAGAATCTTGTTTTTGTATGTTTAGCTTTAAATTCAGTACCATAGCGTTCCGTTTTCTACTCAATGAACAAATCACTTATTAACTTGTTTAGAAATATTAAATTTACAGAACTAGAATTATTTAACTATCTAAATACCTATCATAGCATCATCACTGTTTGTGCCTGTAACAAATATGTCTTTCGTTGAATTTTCAATTTGATCAACAATTTGTTTTCTCATTATTGGACTTGTAAAAAATTCAATATCAGCTAAAGAGATGTTATGAACCAAATAGATGAAGTGAAAACACTTTCCTACTTTATTATAGATAGAAAGTAAGACTGCAATTACTGTAATCTATTTTGGATCCTTCAAAGAATGAGAGTGAAGTTATATTAACCTAAATTGTAATTATTGAATGCAAACTGCCAAAAATTGGCTTATCCCTATAATGTATTCGGCTTTTATAATTATCTTATAATTAAATCTTTCTAATTTAAACCCATATCAATAATACCTTTTTCATACAGAACCGATGACAATCCTATGCACCAGCTAAAAAAAAAGTTGAAGGCAATCGTTGGCACACTTCTGCTTTTCATCATCCTTAAAATTATACGCATCAACAGCCACTTATTAAACATGACAATCGATTAAAGTACATATAGAGTTTACTGATCGATAGATTATATCATCATTCTCAAATATAAATTGTAATTATCAATATCCGACTGGAAGAACAAATCCACCATCATTGTCTTAGAAGTCAAGATTAGACATGAGCATCGATGTGGTCAATGATGTGAGAAAAGCGATTTATTTTTTTGACAGTACATCGAGTTCAACAGTGCCTGTGATCACAGAATAAATAAAGAGTACGTTTATCGCACTACCAACATTACAAGATGTTACCAACAATCATATTAAACTAGGGAAAAGACAACTACAAATACTGCGTGTAAATCCTAATGGATTTACAAAATTCTGATCTTTTTCAAACTATAATGATCACTTTTTGCAAGCAAATTCTAAAGGAATTAGTGTAGAAACTTATAATTAATATTTATAACAACCGACGCTCTGGTACTAAAATTAATGAAATATGATTACATTTCGTTGTAAACTGTCTCCTTCTAAGATAATCCAAAAAAAGCATTGATCCCTGTTAAGAATTATAGAGTATGTGTATAAATACGTTTTAAACTTGTGCATAAAATGCATAAAAGTTGTCTGTAGACCTATGAATATAATATTTTTAGTCATTAAAACAATAATCAACAACAATAGCCATTTTAATTGTAAGTTCTTTGACGTGCTTGTTCATTACGTTTCATTTCATTCGTAATTGCCGTAAAATCATGTACAAATAAATAAACCTAAAAAAAATTCCATTATATTAAGATAAAAAATTCTACTTTATTTTATGATTTGAATACTTACTTTCTTCAATTCTTCTTCCACTCGTTTAATCGGATTCTCAATAGCATCAACATCTTCTTCTTTTTCAACTTTTTGTTGTCGAAGTACTAATTGATGTAAGTTTCGTACAGCTCTAGAACAAATGAGAAAATTTATTTTAAATTGTTATTTTATGCAGAGAACATTATATTTTACAAAATAATATTTCCTAATTGAAGTGTTTTTTCAGCTGATGTTGTTTGTATAAAATTCCATTCATTTTCAGCACGATTTGCTTCAATTTGTGCACGTTCTAATTCGTGTTGTAAGTCACCAATTCGATTATTTAATGTTAATATTTGATTATTTTTACTCTAAAATCACATAAATTATACCTTATGATTTATAACAATTTTTTTTTATATCTACCTGTACAAATGTTTCTCGTTTTCTTCGTAAATCTTCCAGCTGTTCTTCGCGTTGATTTTGAATTTCTAATAATGACTAAATACAAATGATAGTATGTTTTAGAAAAACTATAGAGAATTAAGCGTTGTTATCTCACTTCTTTGTTCGTTTTTAATGTTGTATATCGATCGATAAGTTCACGAACTTCTTGAAATTCATCAGCTGTTTCGACAACCTAACCGTATAAAATGAAATGGAAAGATTAACGTATTATATTAGTTAAATAAATGTTAAACAAACTTTTTCAAGATATTTATTTTGATTTGTATATTTGGCCACTCTTGCTAATAGATCTTCTCGTTTTTGTTTTAAATCATCAATTTCTGCTTGTAATTTTTCAATATCTTTGTCTTTTATTTGTCCCAATTCACGCTCATCTTGTGCACGTTTTAATGCACGCATTCGTTTTGAATCTAATTCCTAAATTTAAAATATCCTACATCTAGTTTATTTAATGCATTAAAAAAATGATGCTATATTATCATACATTGATATATTTTTCAAAATTTGCTAAACTTTCACGAAGACTGTGTTCTTTTGTATTCAATTTTTCTCGACGTAATTTTAAACTTTGCATTTTTAATTTAAATTCCTGAAAGGTTAAATTCATGTTGATAGTAATCTACAAGTTTTACAGATTAATTTACTTCTTTTTGATTTGCTAATAATTGTTCGGCTTCCGTAACTTCACGCTGTTTTTCCAACAGACGACTAGTAGATGACAGATGTTCATGATCTCGTTCTGGTGGTGCACTAAAAACAAAAATGAGTATATTTATTTGTTTTTCCTAGAAAATGAAAAACCCGAGCTTTACATCCAATATTCAATAAACAGAATTTATTCAATTGAGAAATTCTTTTAGTCTTCGGAGTGGACACAAATCATATGTCAAAGCAACATTTACAGTAAGTGAAATGAAATACAAAGAAAAGTAGACGAGAGTTTGATGTCATATTTGTGTCTCACTCCTTGAATATTCGTAGTTGTAATAAAACACACATATGCACTTGAATCTTTACTTTAATTACATTCAAAAAATAAATGAAATCAATTTTTCTCACATGGCTAGTTCTTTGCTTAACGAAGTACGAAAATAATCTTCCATAAATGCCATTTCTATCTAAAAAAAGAAGAAGCTAATGAATCTCAACAAAACATATCAATCAAGCAAATTCAAACTACTATGCATTAATTCATATTAAATTATTATCTGATCAATTTATTAATAGAGAAAGAAAAATATCAAATCCACTAATGAAAGAACAACACGTAAAAAAATCATTATATATAATATAAAAACAACGAGTGTAATGACTACAATTGCTATGTAAATCACAATTCCAAAAGGACTGTAGTCACACACAAAATGAAAAGTTTTCGTATACAAATAGAAAAATAATCTAGAAAGTTTTTCACTGTTATTAATTAAATAAGATAGTATATTTTTAAATCACTGTTATAAGAGACTATCCATATTTGACGAACTTTTATTGCGATTAATACTGCACTATAAATTCTTCAGTCATCCATATTTTGTCTTGGTCTTTGTTGTTGAAACGCACAACACAAACAATTTACATTACTAACATCTGTTGGTGCACAAATACATGCTGTATTACCACACTAAATAAATGAATATGTATATATATATATATGTAAACTAAATCATCTGTATTATCAAGAGAAATAGATATCTCACTTCACAACATTGACCGGTACAACAGGCTTCACACGTAATTATATCGGCAAAATCGACTTTTCCACGTTTTGGACAGCACGCATCAAGACATGATTCAACCGATGTTGTATTACAACAATTACATGTTTCAGCACATGCCAAGCAGCATTCTCCACATGCGCAACAATTTTCATCACAAGCGCAACAATTTTGCGTTAGACCACGAAACTAAATAAATAAAAACTTATGTATATGTACATATATATTATCTCTAACATTTTATCAACCGTTGCATTTTTTTTTCATTTCTTACTATAAAAATTTCTCGGATAACAAGTATTAGAATGAGAACAAAAATCAAACAACATAGAACAATGACAAAAATGTATGGGACATCAAGTGCCAGGTTTGTTGTCAAAGCTGCTTGTGACAAGAAGGGCGTTACCTAAAAAAACGAAAAAAGTGAGCTTAATGGAAAGTAATTCACGATAGAATAAGTTGTAAGTTTTAGGACAGAATTACGAAAAGTAGTTGAGCTCTCTACCATTCGATTGAGTATTGACGATGACTTTTTTATACGACTAATAATGTGGGCAAATTCTGAATTATTTTCACGAATAAAGCATCGGTTCTTTTTTTGGCTGAGTTAAAATCTTCTCATTTTACTATTGACTTTGTATTTTATAAAAGCATATACAGCTTTTTCTGATTGTCTGCTACGAGAAAGCTTTTTTGGAAAAATTCATAATTGCTTTATGGTATCGTGAAGTCTCAAAGGAACATTCCATTGAAAGCTTTAAGTAAAAGACTTTTACAAACAGTTAGAGAACGACGAATACAAATATTTGGCGACTTAAAACTAAATCAAAGATAAATTGCATATTATCTAATATCTATCTTAATAATTAACATACCGGAGCACTCATCACTCGTTGACATGATAAGTTTATTCCACCATGGCAGCACCTCCAACTTTCTTCTGCCTCATTTGTATTGGTTAATACTCTTGATGGTAGTGTTTCATCTGTCTATGCATTTTTGATAAACTTATGCACTTTAGTACACAGATATTCATCGGCGTCGACAACATTTCTACTTTGTAGGTGAAGTGTTATAGAAGAAGAGTTTTGGTTGTAAATGTTGAGGCTGAAACTACAGTAACTGCAGTTTCCACGGAGTGAGGACTTAGTAATGGAATTTTGAGTAATAAGAGTAACCGTGTTGCTTAAACAGGTAGCCCATTTTGAGACAGAGGTTAAAACGAAACCAGTAATACATATCTAAATATTTCAAATGGCGGATGATGATGAAGAAGTGGGCGAAGAAGAAAACACAAATAATCTAGGGGTAAGCCTTGTATCTACAGTTTTTTTGGAGAAGATATTTGTAAGTGTTTTTGGTGTTTTTTGTTGTGTTGTAGTCCTATGAAGGGGAAAGAAATGAAAAAAATGAACGTCACGGTTTTGGTAAAGCGAAACTTCCAAATGGAGATACGTACGAAGGACAGTATCAAAATGGGAAACGCCATGGAAGCGGTACCTATCGGTACGAGAGGAGAGGTCCTGTTATGTTTGAATATCACTTAAAATACATTCACTTTGAATTTATAGATTTAATAATGGAGCCCGATACATTGGAGATTATGTAAGAAATAAAAGGTGGGTAATTTAAATTTGCTTTGAATTGGCAATGGACATCAAAGTTTAATTATATTTTTTAGACACGGAAAAGGCACATTCATTTATCCAGATGGTTCAAAATATGAAGGTAAGTTAGAAAATGCTAATTTACTTTTGATAGTATTTTCCAAATAGAAATAATAAAGCAACAGCAGTAGATTTGAAAGTTTTCATTTTCGATGTTTCCATCTTTGCTAGGTCACTATTAAAGATTAGTACATTAAGTAATAGAACAAATAAATTAGAAACCAGAATGTATACATAGTCACTGATTTCGATCAGTATCCATCTAACGGCTGCGATCCTCGAGTCGATGCCAAAATACAAATCTAGCCACATGACTTCCTCCGATGAAGATACGAAAGATAAGAGTGATGAGGCAAATTTTGAAGTGATTTGGACTTTTAATTAAAGTATCAACGGTAATAAAATAGTACAACGCAGTCAGTGTCAATGATTGTATATCCATAGAGGTTACTCAAAACTTTTCATTCCTAGTTGATCAGGATTAGACGGAAACCTCTCTTATTTCCTCATTTAAACATGTACATAATGACATCAATTAAATTTGCTTTTCTCGTAGACACTTTCTGTTTCAAAGAGTCGCCTGTATCCTTTTTTTCAGATTTGTTTGTTTCATTATTTATTGTATTACTTCTTAATACTAAATAGAAATTGAAATATCGAAAATAAAATTTTTTAGATCTGTCACTGTCACCCTGTTATATTTGTAGGCGCTATTAGCCATTCGAAAAACTAGTGAATACTATTTTCTGATGTCTATTTTTAGGGGAATGGAATGAAAATGTTCGTGAGGGATACGGTAAATATTCGTATCCAAACAATGATACATACGAAGGTAAGAGACTTTTTCTTAGAAAATAACGAAGTAACAAATGGAATTACTCTTAGGTGAATGGAAAAATCATCAAAGGTCGGGAAAAGGAACATACACATATGCTGCAACAAGTATGTTGACTTTGCTTTTTATAATTTAATAAGTGATCAACAATTTCTTATTTTGTTTACAGAAGCTCAATATACTGGCACATGGAATAACGGAAAACGTCAAGGAAATGGTGAAATGAAATTTGGTTTATACAAATTTGTTGGAAAATTTTATGAAAACTATGTAATAGCAGTAAAATGAGAAACTTTGTTTCATAAAATCAAACCAAAATTTCTTTTAGCCACGCGGAAAAGGAAAATTTGTATTTAAAAATAATTCACAACAAAATGGAGAGTAAGGTTTCAGGAAGTCAATATATATTTTTTTAAATAAAACTTTTTTGTTTATGTTTTAGATATCATGTGACTTCAAACGTGTGTATTTTTGTACGAGTTCATCTGGTGAACATAGTAAAATTTTACTTCTAATATAGGCTCCTGAGGATGATACAGATGCACCACCTCAAATACAATATCGTTGGATAGCCAGAGATGTGAAACCTGTCGAAAATGCACAAGCAAACGTTGATGATGAAGAAGAAGCTGATTTAGACAAAACTCAAGGTTCGTAATCGTTTTTTACGAATGTTGTTCATCATTTAAAAGTCATAATTCATTTTACAGAATTTATTAGATAAATATAGATGCAAACGACTAAAGGCTCAAGAAGGTAGCGGCAGCAGAACTTCACTTTCGAAATTTCTTATTATTTTATACATTCTGTTTGTAATGTCTTTTATTCTATGTCTTTACTAAATTAGTTCATTGCATTCATTTTAGAACAAGATACTCTTCAAAAACAAGATGAAACTCCAGGTATGATATCAAATGTCCTTTTTGGGTGAACAGTGTAATAAGATTTTATCGTTTCTTAATAGAGGCAAATAATTCTAATACAAATTTAAATGGTGATGCAGAATTATCTGACGGCAATGAAGATAGTGAAGTTAACCGACAATTTACCGATGGTAAATGAATTTGAAATTTTGTAACAGGAATAGGCTGTAGTATTAAGATTTTTATTAAATATGAGTTTTCATTCAACACTACCATGTGTTGTTATAAATTATCGTCTTAGTACCCAATTGTGTCATAACTATATTGAGTGAGACAATAGTGTAGATTGCATAATACAGCTTGTCCAAACGTAACGCAGTAACATTTTTGACCTAGTATTTTCAAGTTTTCTCCAAAAATAGAAGTCATAGCAAGTTCGTTCTTGCGTCATTCGATGTAGCTCATCAAGTCCTACTTATTTAGAAAGAATGAAGTTGTTGGATCTAATTCTTGAGGAGCTAAAGAGATTCTACGAAGCGTAACGCAGTGACAAAAAAAGACCCCTAAACACCAACCAATGATCATAAAACGAAGATTTTCTCGCTCATTACTGTAGCAACAAGAAACTTCCAAGAGAAGTTTTTATAGCTCTTTCAACCAGCCACCTGATGGTAAAAAAATTTTCTGATTACTCTTTTTCTTGAGTTATAAAATGTCAAAGAAAAACGTAACGCAGTGACACAGTTTTTTGTACATCTCTTTTGGGGCACTTAGCACATGCGAAAAATTTTCATATTAATAGGACTTTGAGTTTTCATCCATTATACTCAGTCTACACAAGAATTAGGCTCCTACAGCTTCTCAGGAGACCGGAAATTGTACAGAAAGTTGGAAACTGTACAAATATGTACAGCTGATTTAAAGACCCTAACCACAAATGTTAATAAGCCATTTTGTAGAAAATTAAATTCTGCATCTAAGAACACGTCACTCAACTTTCTTTCGAACAATTTCTCGGTTAGGAAATTCAAAATACAGTTTTTGGAAATCTCAAAATCCGATTTATGGAATCAAAATCCAACATTTACGAAAAAAAATTTTAGATTCGCGATCAGCGTCGAAAACTGCATCTATTCATGTATTCAGATCTATCGAGTTCGAAAATTGTTTTTCAAAATACTTAATCAGCGCAGTCACGCGTTACGTGGACAAGCTGAATAGTATGTAATCGTTAAAGATAAGAAAAGCGAATGCCTATCTTGAGTCCAAGATGATTATTACGAAACTGCGTGTTCTAATATTGAGATATTCAAAAGTATATGAAAAAAATTTGTAACTTACTATTGACCCCTTTACTCAAATAATTTTGAACTTTCTAGATATCGATGGTGAACAACAATTTAATGAAGAAACATGACACATTCGCTGATTAACTGGCTAAATGGCATTGTTATTCTTTGAAACTAAACTTTATATCGTCTAATTCTCTAGTAGAAGCTGGACTTCCTTTTCAGTTTTCTTCGACCTATTGAACAGTTTTTGTGCTTCGTTTCCTCTAGCATGTTTTCTGTTGAATGTAGCTCTTTTTTACTTAATATCTGTACGAAGAAATTATTTTATCAACAATACTCAACAATTTATTCATACTAAAGGACTGGGTCAATAAGAACCTACAATAAACCTAAACTCAGACAAAAAATTTAGAAATTTAGAAGTTTAGGTTCGGACTCAAAAAGTAAAATCTTTCCGGATCTAGATCACTCGACGAGAACAGGATTAATTTCGACCTTCTGACGCTTTGTTCCATTTTCGAGTGTTATTTTTAAAAAAAGCTTCGTTTCTGGGTTTGAGGTGGCTAGGGTATCGATGCAGATGTTAAAAAGAACTGAATTCATAAATTTTTATTGAAAACAATTATGAGAACACAGCAATCAGATAAGATGCTTAGTTGATTATGATATCACCCTGGAAGCGCTTGATCTGAACAACTGATATTTAAATATCAAAATGTAAGAAATTGAAAGCATACCGCCGGTTTTTAAAATATGATTTAATTTATACGATAATACTAGATAATTATAGAGTTTTAGAAAAATCGCTTTTAGGGGCATCCAAGCCAAAAATTCATCGAAAACGTTTTTTTCTTAAAAACATTTGAGTGACACATGATTCGATCTAGTTTTGTGTTTTGATTTCAAGTATGCCTTCTTTTCGCATTGAAGATGTATAGGAAGTGGGAAAAATACAAAATAAGCGTACTGCCTCTGTGCTGAAAACCCACTTTTTTTTCACGTTGAACTGAGATTTCCATCAAAAAATGAAAATCAACGAAACATTTTTAACTATTTATCATTCGACTTGAGTTTTGACGCTAATTCCGAATATGATATTTTCATTGCGTAAAAGTTGAGTTCTGATGAAGAAAATTGGCAATTAGAGGCAGAACTCTGATTTTTCCCAGTAAAGTCGACTTGGAACAAAATTTTACAAAATATACATACTTTTGTTAACTGTCAATAGACGAGTCAAATGATGGATGAATATTGCGGAAAACTTTTAAACAAAATTTACATTACTAAATACATAGGTATGCGCGAAGAAGATGTCATTCTGCCCCTAGTCGGACCTAGTCGAGCTTGCCGAGGAAGCGGACAGTGATTAAATACACTCAAATTTACAAATTTTTACTCAGTTTTTGATCATGAATCCAAATAAAATGGATTCAGAAAAGTAGAATTAGTATAAAGTGTCAAAAACTTGAATTTTCTCAAAATAGGTCAAATTTTTGTTTTCTGAAGGATAACTTGCTTTTGAAGATTTCTCACTCAAAACTTTGTTAAAAAATTATAAAAAGGACATATTCGGAACCGTCTCTTCGAGCTCTTCCCTGATGCTAATCCAGCAGATTTGACGTTGAGTTCATCACAGGAAGTGTCAAAAACCCATTTTTCTAATTCATTCCGACGCACTGTGACACTCTGTCAATGGCTTCAGTTGAATGATTATTAGTTCAAATAAATGTTTTTTAGCATGAATATATTGTTAATTATACGCTTATATTGATAAACAAATAATTACAGAAAAAAACATTTTTCATGTCACTCCTCCCGCATAGGTCAAAGATGACCTATGTTGTTCTGAAGGATACTACTCTCATATCTCTAATCAAGAAATTTTTAAACGCTTTCCTGCAAATAGATGAGGCCTATACCCGTATATATCAATCGCCCAAACACAAAAATAATCAATCTGTGAAAGTGAAAAAAATTAAAAAAAAGAAATCAAGATTTTTTCACTTTTTTTGAAAATTCACCGTTTTCAGACTCAAATATCTTAGCCAAGAAGTGGTGAAAAAAAAATTAATTTTTTATGAATCTATGCTCATTGAATTCTCTACACAATATTCAATGAGCTTCTTGGTCCGATGTTTTGTTACTTCATTACATCGTTTCTACGAATAGATCGAAAATGACCCAAACGGAGTTAAAAAGTTAAGGATGTTTTTCTTCAAGTACGCTCTGGCGGCAAGCATTGTTAATGAATCTAAAACATTTTTACTTATCATGATGTTTTTGAAAAATCATAAAAAATTATCTATCTTTTGACTATTTGTTTTACTCTCCTTTGTTCCATATATTAATGATGATAGATACAGATGCACAATAATTTGCATATCTGATGACAAAAATCATATTTTGAAATAGTGGAAGGTTATTGAAAAAATATCTTTTTATTGTACAGGTATCGCATAGGTAAGTTACCTATCGATCAAATCATTTAGTTTTCTCAGCAACCATAGAAATCGAGGCATCAAAAATATATAGAAATGTGCGCCTTCTAAAATTTAATAATTATCTATTATTATCATGTTAATTAAGTCATATTTTAAAAGTCGGCGGTATCCTTTAAAATTTTCTTAGTTTCAACTAGACATACACTAGTTCCAAACAAACACTTATAAAGATTTATCACTATTTTTTTGCTATTAAGAGCCTCAATTCCAACTAAGTTTTACTACAAGAAAAATTCAGTTTTATCTCCTCTCCTATTTTAACTAATTCTACCGGATTTGTCGACTAATTTAACAGTTTCAATTCTAACAGATTGAGAGGAACTAAAACTGGATTTTTCTTGTAGCAAAACTTGATTGGAATCGAGGCTCTTAATAGGGAAAAATAGGGATAAGTGTTTGTTTGAAACTAGTGCATGTCTAACTTCAATACATAGAAGAGCGATTTGAACGGTACCGTTAGACCGAGTAAAATTTCTGATCACCGCTAAACAATGTGCCTATAAATTTAGTCAACACCTTATTTTGAATGCAAACTAGACGAGAGCGTATAAAGTTAAGTTTAAATGTTGTTCGACACCGCAAATTGGAAAACTCTTGTTTTACATCACATTTTTTATCTAAGTTTGAATATTTACTTCGAAATGTTCGTTTCTTTGTCTCATTGTAATATTTTACTTATCTTAGAATACTATTAAAGTAGTGAATATACAAACATATTCAAAGTATTCTTTTAAAATTCCATATTATATATATTCATATTATATTTTCTAGTGCTGTATTTGAAGTTAAAATAAACAAAAAACGAACAAGTTGTTATACATTTGGCTAGAAAAAAACTAAAATTAGAAGAACATGTTTGATACTACGGTACTACTGTATAAGTAATGCATAAGTATGTGTAATAACAACAAAACTTAAAATTGATAAGAAAAACAAAACAAAAAAATTGTCCCATCACCAAAATAAATTTAGCCTCATCGATTGTTCGGAAGCTAGAAATTATCAAAAGGAAAATGAGACAGGATGAGTATACGCAAGATCACATGAGATGAACAAAAGCCTAATGAGAAACATAACATATTATAGAGGATATTAAAGCATATCAGTGGACTTAGTATAAAGTTTTAATTGAGCTAGTCTCGCTTGTTTTTAGTTAAGTCTGTTTGTATACACCGGTTTTCATTTTGCTAGAAGTTTTTAACTATTACGACTTTCTAATGATGTTTTCTGGATTTAGATGATTTTTTTCCATGTTTTTTATGATGTCCATGATGATGTTTTGCTTTCTTTTTTAATTTGTCTGCTTCTTCTTCTTCTTCATCTTCTTCTTCTTCTTCATCTTCTGTATCAGTTTCAGTATCAGTATCTGTTTCTGAATCATCTGTATCAGTGTCCGTATCAGTGTCTGTATCAGTATCTGTGTCTGTGTCTGTGTCATCTGTATCAGTATCCGTATCCGTATCCGTATCCGTATCCGTATCAGTGTCTGTATCAGTATCTGTATCAGTATCTGTATCAGTATCTGTATCGGTGTCGGTATCTTTGCCATGTCTTCCAGATTTCTTTGAATGTTTGTGTACATGTCCTCTGACTTCTATATACTCTTCTAGCTCTTCTTCGGTATTACCTAGAACAATAAATTTTATATTTCGTTTTCATCAATTTCTCATTTTTTATTTTCTCTGAGCTACTTACCATCAGCACATTCTTCTGAACATTCTTCACGATTTGATGAACTACATTTCGCTCTCCTCATGCATTCATTGTACGACAAAAAGATTGAGGCTCGGTCACGTGCAATAAATACGGCTAAAAAGTATGATAGACGATTATATAATTGAATATTAATCGATCTACTCATATAGCAGTTGTGTTAATCATCTTTTTTATGCCTGTTAATAATAGCGTTTATTAAAGAGAAAGGTTAGTCGTGCACGGAAATCAAACATAAATTGAGATCGTTTAAAGCAAAAGGAGATTAACAAAAGTTAGTAAAGAAAGATAAAAAGGTTTCGAAAGACAAAGGATCGAATACAAACAAAAATTTAGCACATTTGTTACATAAAAATAAAAATAAAAATTAGAAAAAAGATTCTTATTTACCTAGTTTTAGAAAGAGTTTAACTACAGATAAAACGATTATTTATTTTTCATCATATGATGCCGAATAAAGAAACAAAAGTCTTAACTTAGTTTAGTCAGATTTCTAAAGAATAGTGAACTGTAACTCGAAGAAAATAGAAAAACTGCAAAAAGTTTACTATCTAACTAAACACAATGTATGAAAAAACTATTCTAAATAAACTATACAAAGTGATTATGGCACATAAAAGTTTTTAGTGTGAAGGAAGGGTCTATATTGTAGTTTATCGTATAGAAGATGGTTGGATTAAATATCACTACTCTGATGTAAAAGAGAGAGTGAGCTTTTCAAACAACAAAAAGTTAGTTGTCTTGTGATGTTGAAAAATTGTTACTTAAGAAGTATGGTAGCATAGACAATTGCTTAAACTAGCAACTCTATTAGAAAATTTAAAATTTAAAAATAGAAAAGAAACCAAAACTGACTAGGTTTGAATGACTTATTACTCCTTGACTGAACATGCCAACAAAAAAGGGTTGTGTTCATTTTTCCATTCTCGTTGTGATAAAATTTGGTTAAGTTTTCTTTGTTGATGGTAGTTTTGTTTTTGTGGTTTTTGAAGATTTTGACTGTTGTGCAGTTTTCGATTTTTTTGTTTTTTCATCATCTTCTTCACTTTCAGAATCATCATCAGATGCGTCACTTTCATCACTTGTCTCATCGTCACTGTCACTTGTCTCATCATCAGTATCACTTGTTTTCGAATTTGAGGTATCTTTTTTATTTTTTACTACTTTTTTGCCCTTTGATTTTACATCTGATCGATATTCTTCAATGTGTTCAAATATTTCGGTATATTCTTCCAATTCTTCTTCAGTGTTACCTAAAAAGGAACAATGCATATTATTTCATTTTAGTTATGTTGCCTGTACGCTAGGAAGAGTTGCATATACAGTTATAATCTAGCCAGTCCGCTTAGAATTCAAGATAAATCCAGTTTTGATATATAAAAGTCTTTTATCTTTAAATTGCTGTTTTTTTTTGAGAAACATTTCTGCTCATTTGTTCTCGTATTAGGCTATACCACAGGGGAGAAATAACAGAAAGCTTTCTATTTGTACATATGAATATATCACTGACCTGCTGAGCATTCTTCACTACATTCTTCTTTTCTTGTTGAGCCACAATTCATTCGTCGCATACATTCGTTGTATGAAAGAAAAATGGAAGCCTTGTCTCTTGAAATGAATACTACTGAAAAAGAAGAGGATAGAAACTGTACGGCCGTAAAAATAGTGATGGCCACATACATGTAATAGAATAAAACTTAGAAATATGATCTTTTCGAAAATGAAAATTATTATTGAAACACTGCACCGTTGAATACTCATGCAAATACTGAAAGCTTGGTTATTCGTTTCTTAAGAGCGCAAATGTGTTATAGCGTTGAGATTAAATATTTCGTTTACAGTTACAAAAATATTATTCGAAATATATGTAAACAAAGTTTACTATATTATATTCGATCCCACACGTATAAATGATTAGAAAGTCCAGATAAATCTCTGGCGAAAAGCAATTTTAAGCGGCAACTTACCTTTTTTATCATCATCATCATCGGTATCGTCATCGGTGTCTGTTTCAGTATCTGTGTCTGAAGTATACAAACAATAGTATAAATTTATAAGTTGATCTGATGTTAGACGAATTAGAATAAAAAAAAGCACTATTTAAAAGCATAAACTATTTACCAGTGTCAGTATCAGTTTCTTCTTCTTCTTCGTTTTCCTCTCTAGATTTCTTTTTAGCGTCGGTTAATAAACCGAGAGAGAGAAGTAAAGCACAAGTAACTATAACCCACTTGACTTGCATTTTGCTAAAATCAGAAGAATACAAATTAACTTAAATTAACTGAAAAATAATTGAAAACAATAATTTTTCTAATACAGCTTTCTAGAATCAAGACCTAGACTGCAGAAATGTTTCTTCGCTTTTCCTCATTCTTGAGTCAAGAAGTAATACTGATTTTGCGGAAAAAAAAGTATTAATTTATCGAGAAAAGAAGCTCGAAATCTTGAGATATTTCTTTCTTAAAATCTTGACAAGTAATGCAAAGAACTATTACAGTACATATTACAGAAAGAGCTATAGATAGAACAGTCATGTCAGCAAAGCTACTAGGTTCTTTTAAACACTTTTCTTGTAAATTACAAACCTACTACGTCTACAATGACTTTGATGGGCTGAAACGAACACACAAAAAACGATTTGTGAAAAGAACTTTTTAACTAAAGCAAAACAGGTATACAGGATACAAAATTAGTATTATAATTATTACACGCTTGAATACTCTTTTTTCACTATCAAAGTATTTTCTTCTGGTGAGCGAAGGTTTTTAGTTGTAATAAGTATGCTCTTTCTCTCGCCCTTTCTCTGTGTCTGCGGTTAACCAAGTGTATCATCACTTCTAACGAGAAGAGTCATCGTTGACATAATCATTTATTGCTGGTTTTTATTCGCTTCGATGCTTTTACGGGCGAATATGCCTGTTTTTCCGTACTTTTTCCTGAACATCATACGTCAGGACCTTATGCTAAACGATTATCATATTCAATTCTCTCAATAAATTCAAAGTTATCGTAATAGCCTTCTATTAGTATAATAGAAAAATCTGTATGGGAAAAAACTGTATCTTAGGAAAATTTCCAACAGGTCACGCTTTACGGTTTCTCATAATACCTTAAAAAATTATTCTATAGTCTTGCAACATTAGTAAATATCTATTGTTCTCAAGTTTTCTGCGCATCGCCGGTCAAATGGTTTTACACAACTTTTAAACAGATCGTATGGCACAGGACGATCATAAGCAAGTTTCAAACACCTTAAAACTCCACCTGTCTCGATCTTCGGAAAGAATATATTTTAGCTTTCTGATAAATCTTTTTTCAATTTTTTCAAATGACATACAAACTCAAGAAGAGGATAAAGTACTGGACACAACGAGATTTTTCGCTGTACTTTATAGTGTATATAGTCCTAAAAAGCTGTTAGATTCTGTGAAGTAACTTGCAGATTCTCATTGTATACCGTACGGTTGAACAAAAACCAGACTACCGTCTAAATCGAGATCTTCGCTTGTTTTTCAGTTACTGCTACTGTCATCTATTGTTTAAATGCAGATAAAACTGCATAATAGTGACATTGGTGAAGGTATATATGTCAAGATACAATATGCACAGAACTAGTTTTTTTAACCAGAAGAAAATCGATACCCGTACCGTACAGCGTACAATATATTCTATCCATCTGTTAAGAATACTTTACCTTCCCTGACTGTAAAGTCAAAAGTTTGAATTAAGAACAAGATTCCTGAAGAATAAAATCACACAAGCTTAGCAATACATTGCAAAAAGAACATGGCTATATTACTAATATACACTTCGACTTTTCAAGTACACTTAGCTCCTTTGTAGCATACTCTTCTGTATGATATTTGCTTCAAAGGACAGAATTTTATTTATTTGAAAAGACTTGAAAATACTTCACATTCACATAAGTTCAAAGTTCGACAAAAAAAGTCGACCCGTTTTAACTTTGGAACGTATAATTTTTCATTCTTAATGAAATAGACCGAATCTAATAGATGCACGAATTTTAGACTATTTATTCCGCTTGGTGTTTGTATCTGCTCTAGCTCTTATCACCACCATCACCAAAAAAATACAAAAGCAAGATGTAACAAACTAAATGATAACAAACCTGAATATAATAAGTTCCTGATAATTGTATGACACAACGATGATGGAATGCAAATTTGGAGGATGATCTCCAAAATAGAAAAGGAAAGAACAATAGTTTTATAGTATATAGAGTATAAATAATAATAATAAAATAATGTATGAAAGAGAAGAAATGAAAGGCTAATCCATAAACTAGAAGAAGAGGAATAAAACGAAATGCACCGTTGGAGACTATTGTAGTTGCTACTAGAGTCGTACAACTAGCAGCTGCTATCAAACTTCTATTTGATTTCTTATTTTCCCTCATCCTGCTACTAAAACGATAAATATGTCTACTGTCTACTTATACAGTACATAAAAAAACCACAAACGTTAACAACTCAAACTCAATTATGATGGTAATAATGCTCTGTTTTTTTCAAATACTCATAAAATATGCGGTTTTTATGGTAGTCATGTTACAAACATTATTCCTTAGAGATAAAACCACCTTATAATCAAGGAAAAACAAACGTGTGCAGTAGTAGTTCGAAAGTTAGAGGATTTGTCTAAGGTAACATTTGTGGTAAAAAATATATAGCTGTATTAATACATATATGTACTGATAATCTTTTCTGTCCTCTTTATAACGAGAAACAAAGAAAAAGAATGGATTAGAAAAACCCCTTTTTCTACGTAATGTTTATATATTATTTTTTGTCCATATTGCTATATACATGAATGATACAAAAGGAATTCTTTTTTTTTTGAGTGTCTTTATAAGATGATTTCCCTTTTGTTTGTCTCCTAAAACACGTCTTTTTTCTTTCTCTTTTTTTTTGTCATTTACAGGAGAGTCGGTGATCCTAATAGATGGTGATCAATGAGTATTTCACCTTGAAAACAAGATCAATGAGGTGTGAATAGATTGATGTCGCTTTCGCTTGTTATTTTGTAGCATAAAAAAACGAAATCAATTTTAAATGACTTTTTGACTATCCATTGACCAGCTTTTTTGTATACTCATCTGTACAATATACACATATTTTCTACTGTAAAACCAAGGTTATTATTTAAAAAAATAGAGATACTCTAGTTATCTTCTTCTATATGCATACGTTACAAAGAAGAACATAAAAAGAAACGACCATTTTTTCTTATTTACGCGTTGTACATAGAAAGAGAGAAAGAGAGAAAAAAACGAGTTACCTCTTCGTAGTTACGCGTGTATATTATCACTTTTATTTATGAGATTTTTTGGAGTGAGAAACTCTGGTTATAAGCAAATGGATTGATTTGGATGCCATAAAAAAAATATTTTTTGTCTTAAGTCATACATGTGTTATTTAGATATATCGAGAGAAGAAAACAAAATAATAACACCGATTTTCTCCTCTATTTCCTATTTTTAGAGTCTAAATGACATGGTAAAACCACAAATCAATGACATCGTTAAACGCTAAGATAATATAAAAGTTGATGTTTTTTTCTTATTCTAACAGAGAATTTATTGCACTGTACATTTTGAAGAATATAATTTATAAATAAAATATAGATACTTACCGTCATGTCTATCATTTATTCTTGTATATGAGCAGAAAACATGACGCGCGTAGATCAACATACGTCAACACGAACAAGAGATTTGATATCAAAATAAAAAACATAGTAATGCCAATTATATGGCGAGAAACATTTGTTTCTCGGAAATTTATTAGCTTGCATTTAGCGCAACCTATAAGCAAACCACTATCAGCTGCAGGTCTTGTCTACTTTAAGCAGAAAAAAAAGAGTATGAATATGGACTATATACGTGTATGTAAGTCTTAAAACTATTTGACAACCTTTATTTTTTATAATTTTTTCCTTGACAGCGTCGGCTAAAAGACGTCTGATTCGAGTAGCTAAAAGAATATTCAGTTCGGTGAACTGTGTTTGAAAATTTCATTAGGATTGCTAAAAACCAGGTCTTTAGAGCACCTTTAGAAACACAACTTTCTTGGATTGGATTGGATTGATAACGTTTTGCAACAGCTTAGCCCAATAGAGAAAGCATTTCTGAACAGAACAAGACGGTTCCGTGCAAACTCTATGACATTTTTTCATCAAATCACATTTAATTCTATGTTAAAACTAGCTATACCAACAGAAAAACAGTAAAAAATGCCTTTCGAGCTTTTTGTAAACTGAACGGAGTTTAATGAAGAAAAGTTTCAATCTGAACCAGAGATGGAACTTAGTTTTCTAGAGAGACCGGGTTTTCGGTAATTCTGCTGAAATTTTCCTGTGTACAATCTTTTAGATGCTCAGTTCACTTTTTGGGGGAATTTTTTCAGCTATCACATCACAGTAGAAGAAAAAATCAAAGCTAAATATTATCAGATAGTTTTGGGACTTCCATTGTAATGACCAAATGCTGTTACTGGTAGCGAAACTTGACATATGTTTGTAGAATAGAACTTTTTGATACCGCTTCTTATTATCCAATAATCTTAAAAAAATCCAATGAAATATTTTTTTACAGAGAATTAGTCTAATTTTCCTCTAACAGCAGTTTGTATAATAGGAAACACTACTCATGTTACTTGGTCGTTTTAAAAAAGTTAGCAAATAATTATTACTAAATAATCGGGTTTTATCCTTTTCTTGTTTTGCAATGATACTGCGAAAAACAAAAGTATGCTATTTTCTTAGACTATCTAAGATTGGATCGGATCGTTAATATGACACGTCCAATTTATGTATTTGCTTTGCGTTCTTTGTCATCAGATCGAGCAAAAATATTAATCACTGCCATCTATGACATAAAAAAATCGAAATAAAGCGCGTATTAATATTTTCGATAATTCTAAAATAACCCCAAGACCACAATTACGCGTCAAATATTAAAAAAGAGGTGTAAAATAGGATTTTTCTCTGAGCTATTGTGAAAACGGACAACAAGGCCTCTGAGGAACTTTTTCGATGATTCAATGGACACGCATCATTCTACTAAATAGATCTAAACTATTCTCGAGTGAAGGAATTAAAACGTTTATCTTTTCTCTCATACTGACTGTAGAAATTTAGTATATTAGTAAAAAGACGTTATAAAAATGATAGCCGATTTAAGAAGAATACTTTTAATGTACTCCTTTCTTTTGCGAGCCCACT